TGGGGGGGATGATGGACTTCAGGTTCCACTTTGATTCAGGTAAGTTGGCACTGTGTGCACACGGCCTACCTGAGAGCTGACACATCGTCTATTACATAAGTTATATATGATCCTAGTGGCTTACTCTAAAGTACAACATGTATATGACATGTCACAAACCATTTTTGCCTTGGATAAAGCCCTACCTTCTCTGCCAAGGTAAGGAACCAGTCAACACAGGAGTAAGTGTCCACACAGGGGTAAGCCCAGAAATGTGGTCACTGAAATCCGAGGAATTTCTGACTGCACCACTGCATCGGTGAATCATACTCTGTGATCCCTCAGAAGCAAAGTAATGGCCAGTGTCCCAATATTTTGATGCAGGCTTTCTGTAGCTGCTGCTATTATTGGATCTACACAGCTTTACATCTGGCCAAACAAGATTCTAGAAAGAATCAGAACTAAACTGTTCACATTAGAGCACCTTGTCTAGCGGATTCCCACTATGCAGGGAATTCTTGACTTCGGTTGGACTTTCCAGACAGACAGAAAAGAACACTGACATATGTATATTATATTAAATTAGTATTAAATACTAATAATATATATATAGTACTTAACATATTTAACTACATACATATAAATGCACATAGTACTTAGCATATTTAAGCATCATTGAATGAAGAAACAAATGTTTCTTGCCCTTGAATGTTAACCAAAAAGATCTTTCCTAAAGTATACCATATTACATTTGTCAATTTAAAAAATAAAATGTCACTCTTTGTAATCTTTGATTAACCATCATTTTCCTATATTGTCTCATTTGTGCTCAAGAAGAGTTCGTTGTACTTCCACCTGATAAAGACATCACAATTTGTGTGTACATGCTCAAAAATAGAGAACTGAAGTGATTTTTAAGGGAGCACAAACACACCACTTTACCTTGTTATGTTGCTATTTCCTGAAGATAGATTCAACATGAATCACTAGAGCTGGTTCAATTACCTGTTATTTGTTTAAACACGTGGAATTTTTTTGCATTATAAGCACACAATGTGTTCTTCGGTATATTAAGAGTGTCTTCTAACATACATCTCAGGGATATGATGAGGATAAGTGAAATACTATATGTTAATTATGTCTTAAACTCCTAGGAAGAAACATGGAATAATACACCCTAAATTATTATTATTTCTACATGGCATTATAAGATTTGGTGTTTGGATAGCTTTTGTTAGGTGTTGTGCATCTTATGTTTATCTCATATATGATGAAAAAACATTAACAAACTTTGCATATTTTGAGTTATATGAACACAATTTTATTTATAGACTCCACATTGGAATATTTATTGTACAATATTAAAGAATAGCAATGCTATTGTACTTGAAGAGGCTGAACTTAAATGGAAATTAAAAGATCAGTAGAACACATTCATATGTATGCTTTGAGCTTGAACTGACTTTTATGGTCCATTTGCTAAACATTTAAATTGCTTAAATGTTCATAAACTAAGTCAACACTTTTTTTAGGAATTACAAAATTTAATCGTACTTAGATCCCAACTGTATATATGTTAAACAACTTATTAGACATAAATTTATATCTAAAATTATTTCCTAGAAATGGTTTATTTTATATATTGATCTTTTCATTATAATAGCATATTAAGAGCAATTAAATTTTTTGTTCATATTTTGGAATTTAGGCTGTGAGTCACATGAGCGTAGATTGAAAAATAAGAAGTGTGTCTTATCCTGTTGTGAGATCAGTCTTAACTATCTTTGCTGTATTTTTCCCATTTCTAACAGTACCTGAAAAAAGGAGTTACTCAATAAATGCTTCTGGTATGAATGTTGTGATTGAATGCATTTGAATGAATGAAGCAAATCTACTTCTTTCTTACTTTTTTTCTTTTTTTCAGATTCCCAGGAAGGAAATTATAAGTCAGAAGTCAATAGCAAACCCAGGAAGGAACGGACAGCTTTTACCAAAGAGCAAATCAGAGAACTTGAAGCAGAGTTTGCCCATCATAATTACCTGACCAGACTGAGGCGATATGAGATAGCAGTGAATTTGGATCTCACTGAAAGACAGGTAAAGTTGGATATTGTTGTGATTATGGCATTTTTAATTGCATTGAATCAACAATCTTCTCTTGCCATTTTTGAAATATCTAGATTTGTGGTTCTTAAATACCATATGGAAGACAGGTGTTCTATTCCATGATATTTGGGCCCAGCTAAATGACAAAATTAAGGATAAAATGGCAGTGTTTTTAGGAAAACTATATCTATTCAGTTTAAGGAATTATTCTTTATTCTGTAATTGTTTTTAAAATACTATTTCTTGTATATAATGATGGCATATAGTGAGCAATTTTGTTTGCTTAAATTTTAAAATCTCCTTATTTGGTATAGTAGAAAGCTTGCAACCCCATGTTAGTTTCCTCTATTGCTCAGGACAGGGTTTGCTACGTTTGTTACCATAACACATTAACCCCCAAACCTCAGTGACATAACAAAAATGTTCACTATTTGCTCGCTGTCCATACTTACAAGTCCAACATTACAAACTATCACTCACAGACCCAGTCTGACTCTCTGGCATCTCGACATGTGGTGTCCTTACTAACCACAGGAGGTAAGAAAGAGTTGGAAGTTCATGCATTGACCTTTAAATGTTTTCACCTGGAAATGACCCATGTCACTTCCATTTATACTCTAAGGCCCGGAAATCATCAGTGGTTCCACTTAAGTTCAAGGGGGCTGGGACATGATGGGGGCAAGGGCATGCAGATTATTGGTAAATATTTCCCAACTACTTTTGAAATTATATTGGTTGGCCTCAAAAATCCAGAAATTCTGACATCAACTCAGAAAACGCTGAAATTATTAATGATCTGTCAACCTCAGTTGATAAAACCTAAAAAATACTGTTTAATTAGTTAAATTTTAGGTTCTCTCTTGAATTTTATTTGCTCCAGTAGTGCTTCCAGTGCATTCTTTTTATGGATTCTGATTTGCCCTGGGAGAATCTAGCCTACTGATGGTCAACAGTTGCTAATCTTTAGAAAAACATTCCTGAAAGGCAAATCCAAACAACTTTGTGGACAGTGCAGTTATGATTGGCACTCCCAGGACTAGAGTCTCATTTCCTCTTTCACTGTGTGCACCTCCTCTAGGGATCCCATTGGAACCAAAGAAATACCAACAGGGTGTGGACAAATGAATACTATCTTAGGAGAGCAAGTTATTTTATCCAATTTCTTAAATCATCTGCTTTCTTTCTGCTAATTTCTGTGCTTCATCTTTTGGTGGGATATTTCTGGGTAGTGGAAATATAGAGAGAAACACTTTTATGTGGTTTTATTTATTGGCAGTTTATATTTTATTAAATATTATGACTAGTGCCTACGTTGTGAAGCACAAAATTCTCCTTCTCTTGAACTTCACATACAAGGTTCCCTCCATAAGTGTATAACATTTGGCACGCAGGAGAGGAGAATCCAAAATCTGCATTATCAGACATCTTTTTTTCCCCCATTTTTTTTAAACTGGGAACAGATAAAGGAGGGAAGGAATAATGGGATTCAGTACTACTCTCTTAGTCAAGAGAAAAGTCAAAGTTCTGTTCTTAGTATTCCAGAGATAGCTGTGGTTATCTGTGGTTATTTGATTATAAAGCAGAGGTTTCACCTTTGGTTTAGAATAATTTCATTTTAGAAGCAATTCTATAAATTTGGCCTGAGAATTTTGAAGGTATTTTGGATATTTCGTTTTCTTCATGAGTTGCCATTCCTGATAAAGAGTGAAGTGCAATTATATGCAAAATTATATACACACTTTTTAAAAAATCTTTTTTAATCTTTATGTTTGAGAGACAGAGTGCAAGCAGGGGAGGGGCAGAGAGAGAGACACACACAATCCAAAGCAGGCTCCAGGTTCCAAGCTGTCAGCACAGAGCCCAATGCGTAGCTCAAACTCATGAACTGTGAGATCATGACCTGAGCCGAAGTTGGATGCTTAACGGACTTAGCCACCTAGGCATCCCCCCCTCCCCCCCAACACACAATTTTAATCTTTGCCTTTTTTTTTAAAGTTCCCTATCAATTTTGTATCAGTTAGCTTTTTGTATGTAATAATGCACTTAAAAATCTTAGTGGCTTCAACCAATAACCAGTATTTAATTTGCTCACAATTTTGTGGGTCAGGGATTTTGACTGGGCTCAATTGGGTTGTTATACTGCTGGGCTTACCTAGATCCATCATAGAGCTGTAGTCACCTGGTGGGTTTGAAGAGCTGGTTGGTCTAGACAGCCTCAGCTGGGACAGCTTGTCTCTGTTGTGTGTGGTTCCATCTTCTTCTAATAGGCTCCCTGGGACTTTTCAAATGGTGGTGGAAGCATTCCCAGGAGTAAAAGAAAAACTCCACTGTACAAGCTCGGTTTCAGTGTAGAAGGAGACAATATAAGGGAATGGATACATGGAAGGAAGGCAACATTTGTTGGAGGCCATTACTAAAACAAGCTAACTATACCTTTATGGGGTAAAAATAGCAAAAAAATAAGTTGAGATATAATTGGGTTTGTGAAGAACTTAAATTTGGTTTTATACAGAATTTTATCCTATAAAAATCTTTATTCACAATTTTGCAAGTTAATGTGAAAGGGAGATGTATCCGTGTGGAATCCAAATTCCCAAAGTTAAGTCTTTAGGTGTGTCTGTATGACTCAGTTGGTTGTGTCTGACTTGTAATTTCAACTCAAGTCATGATCCTAGGGTTGTGGGATCAAGCCCTGCCTCGGACTCTACACTGAGCTTGGAGCCTGCTTAAGATTCTCTCTCTCATTCCCTCTGTTCCCCTTCCTGGCTTACACACTTTCTTACTCACAACAATAACAAAAATTTAAGTCTTTAGTGGGCCACTATTTGTTAGTAAGAAAAAATTGAATTATTATGATAAAAATTTGAACAAATTTCTCTAATTGCAATTGTTTGTTCTTAGGCAAGTAACAATCTCCCTAAGGCACAAAATGGAAATTAATACTACCTTCTCGGGGCACCTGGGTGGCTCAGTTGATTAAGCTGAGGTTGATCTCAGCTCAAGTCTTGATCTCAGGGTTCTGAGTTCAACCCCTATATTGGGCTCTGCACTGAGTGTGAAGCCTGCTTAAGGAAAAAGAAAACAAAAACAAAAACTACCTTCTCTTGCTTCTACTCAGGTTTGTATGTCATAATAAATATGAAAGTATTTCTAGCATAAACTATAAAACACAAGTGTCAACCAGAGGGGCGAAAAATCTTTGCCATTCAAGACATAGTGAATTGTTTGGTAATACAAATATTTGTTGAGCTAGATGCTAAAAATTAAATCTTGCTAAAATAAGCTAGACAAGTCTCTGCTAGAAGTCATGGAAGGACAAAAATGAAACAAGTATTAACAATTGTGATGAGTGTTGAATGTCACAAAAGAGGAATGACAGAGTTGTATGGGAGAATGTTCCTGGTTGTGCCAGCTGTTCATTTTATTCCTAGACTTATATGCACATGCAGTATCTTAAATTGAGAATCTGAAGGCTTTATTTATGTTTTGTGGGATGAATTTTACTATGCTAAGTTTATCAGAAAAATATTGTATGCTGTCAGGCATCAATTTTGATATTCTTAAAGGTCTGAAAACATATTCCTTCAATATGCCAGCACTCTTGTCCCAGTGAGATATTTTCAGTTTATTTTCTCAAGGTTGGGCTTTTAAAGTTATAAACATAGAGTTATAAACTGAACCCATTTCATTCATCTTCTTTTAATTGTCTTACAGTAATTGTAGTACTTTGATTTTGTATTAATGCTATACATGTTTATCTATGTAATCTATATCCTAACACTATATATTCTTAAATAACACTCCTTTTATAGGATTTCCAGATGTAAAATTATTCTAATTATAGACATGCACTTTTTTCATTTCCATTCTGCAAGATTTATCTTTTCATACTTTAAAATAACCTGAGACTTATATCTAACTCCATATTGTGCAGTGTTTTCCTTAACTTTAATAGAACCTTTAGTCTCTTAAAATATTTTTCTTGACTTTAAAAAAGCTTTTCAAGACTTAAATGCAAAGGTAGAATTCGTAAGTATATAATGTAAAGGGAAAAATAAATATTAAATAAGCTGCAACAATTTAGGGCAGAATTGTTTTAAGGAAATAACTTTCTCCTAAATGGAAACTTACTTTATAATCAGAAGTAACCTTCAGATGTACTTTCATCTAAGAATTTTATATAATTGCCTATGAAATATACATATGTATAACTGTTAAGTTATTTGTATATAATCCTACTTTGCTTAGTAATATAAATCACTAATCAATATATTTGCTACATTTTATTACAGGTCACATACATGTAATTATAAAGATTTACTCTGATGCTTAGGTTTCCCTTAAGGAAAAAAGTAAGATATGTTAAATCCTGAAATATCACTCAGGACTTGAATTTTCAAACCCCTATCTGAAGAATAGTTCTGAAATCTCACAAAGAAGTCAGATTCTTATGTTTGTGTCTTCCATAATGCAGTGCCTCTGTAGATCAGGGGAGCCTATAATCCCCTTTGAACTCCATCTGGCCAAAGAAGAAGAAAAAAAAAAGGCTCATTCTGCAAAGTGATTCCACATTAGCATATAGGCATTAAATAAAATTATTTTATGTCAAATAAAAATGGAGATACTAGAACAAAATTGAACTTCAAATATTTTTAATTATATAATGTTTTTGTATAAGTTATCAGTCCAGTATCTCCCAGCTTCTAACTTACAGTTTCTAATTTACAACATATTCTTATATACCCTTCTGAATCAACAGCTAATAATCCTCAATTGGCAGAGCCACTTGGAATATTTTGAAGATCCAGTTAGTCTAAAGACCCTCCTGTCCCAAGGTATTTTTACATTTGACATGCTTATTCTGGCCTTTTCATCCATCCAGGCACACTTGGAGAAAGCTCCTGCCAATTTTTTAATATCTCACAGTGGGAAGAGGAGGGAAGGCAGCTGCATGAAACTATAACAGGAGTGACAAATGGACATTTTTATAC